ACCTCCTAAATAAACAATTCAACCACAAGCTTATCAAGAAAATGATGGTACAACATTAAGAAGATTTACTAGAACAAAAAGGTTAACAATTTCTAGTGATTATGAAGTGTACCTACAAGAAATTGACTACATTATTGGAGCAAAAAATGATCCCAAATCATTTTTCATAGGCCATGAGTTGCAAAGATTTAGAACTATGATACAATGCTATGAATGAGTAGATGAGTTCCATGAAGAATAATGGAGCTTGGGATCTTCTTGAGTTGCATAGTGGAGCTAAAGCTATTGGCTGTAAATGGGTATTTAAGACTAAGAAAGACTCGCTGTTCAAATATTAAGAGATACAATGTAAGACGTACTTCTATGGGATTCACTTAACATGAAGGAATCGGTTAAACTGAGACCTTATCTTCAGTATTTAATAAAGATTCTCTATACATTATTTTGACATTAGTAGCTCAATTTGACATTGAGTTGCAAAAAATGGGTGTGAAAACGTCATTTCTCAATGGAGATTTAGAGGAGAATGTTTATATGAAAGGATTCTCCTCTAATGATGGTGATCACTTGGTCTGTAAGTTTAAATAGTCTATATACGCTCTAAACCAAGCGTCTCATTAATAGTAATTTAAATTTCATGGAGTAATTTTTTTATTCGGATTTGTTGAACATCTCATGGATCAATGTATATACTAGAATATCGGTGTGAGTAAGATTTGTTTTCTTGTTTTATATGTAGACGATATTTTTTTTGAAACCAATGATAAGTGTTTGCTGCATGAAGTGAAACAATTTCTCTCTGAACATTTCGATATGAAAGATATGGGTGTAGCATTAAGATTCATAGGGCCAGATTACGAGGGATCTGGGGTTTGTCTCAGGAAACTTATATCAATAAAATTTTAGAGAGATTTTAGATGAATGATTGTTCATCAAGTATAGTTCCTATTGTGAAAGGTGATAGGTTCAATTTGAACCAATATCCGAAAAATGATTTAGAAAGGGTAAAGAAAAGAAGAATCTGTATGCTTCCGATGTGGGAAGCCTAATGTATGCTCAAGTCTGAACAAGGCCAAACATTACATTTGTTATAGGAATATTAGGACAATATCGAGTAATCCATGTATGGATCACTGGATGGCAGCAATGAAGTAATGAGGTACTTTCAAGAAACCAAAAATTACATTTTTATGTATAAACGGACTTATAATTTGGAAATGATTGGAACTCAGATTCAAACTTTGCTGGTTGTGTTGGTTCATACAAATCAACACAATGGTATGTTTTTATGATGACTGGTGGGGCTGTATCATGGAGGAATGCCAAGCAAACCTTGACTGCTACTTCCACCTGGAAGCCGAGTTCATCTCTTGTTTTGAGGCTACTTCACATGGTGTGTGGATCAAGAGTTTTATACTTGGCTTAGAGTTATGAAGTCCATTTCTAGGCCATTGAGAATTTATTAGGACAATTCAACTGCTCTCCTTATGGTTAAGAACAATAAATGTGGAAGTTGAAGAAAACATATAAACTTAAAGTATTTAGCCATAAGGGAAAGTGTTAAAGAAAAAAGTAGTCATTGAGCAAGTAAGCATTGATTTGATGATCGCCGATCATTTGGCTAAAGACATGCCACCATTGAAATTCAAGTTCAAGAGTCATGTAGAGAAAATAGGACTTGGTTCAATTATGCAAATGTTATATACAATTTTGTATGGAACTTTTATTTATTATTTACATGATATCAGAGTCTACCTCCTGGGTTTCTTCGTGGTAGTCAATGGTTGATTAAATTTTGTCAACTTCTGGTGCGGTGAAGGTGACGCTTTGATACCATGTGAATAATACAAACTAATTCAATAAATCTAACAAGAGAGAAGAACTAAGAGATGGAGGAAGAAAACCAAGGGCAAAATAAATTACAAACTGTTTATATACTACAAACTAAAGTAAATAAAAAAGGAAACTAAATAACTAAATATTATAAAATAATATTATATCTAACATATGCTAGTCCAACACGGTAATTCTCTCTTCTATTTTCTTTTTTTTTTTTTTGGGTGTGGGGTACATTCCAACATCGTTATTCATTTGACATGTTGAGTTGTGTGGAGCCTGACTATACTGGACACCCCAC